TTGCGGCGGCTTATGGAGCTGCAACTGGCCAGCCCCCGCGAAGGCCCTTGTCCCCTGCATGACTGGAAATCTGAAACCTCCTGCTCCGCCGATATGAGCTATTTCCAGGCAAAGGCACCGCTTGTCCCAAACGCGCAAGAACTTCATCCTCATCTTTCTCGCCCAAGCCCTTCAAAAGGCTTCGCATGTATGGGCTTGTCTCTGCAATCCTTGCGCAGTAGCGAGTCTGTCAGCGTCGAAGCCACAGCATGACCATGCCGCGTTTGCAAACGTATGCACCAGTGCTTGCAAGGTACTTTTCCAAAGCTTTTTTCTTTTTGTCTGGGTTGTCCTCAAAACACTACTAAGTGTGCCCATCCATGAAGTTCGCTGCGAATAGTGACGTGGCCACCAGCGACTCAGTCATGGTCCTTGTACTCCTCGTAGATCTTCCTCTGTTAGTTGTCAGATGAACGATACTTCAGGCACATGCAGAAGACTTTCACATAAGCAGGCAAGCGCAAGACAGCATTTCGGGGGAGGGGCAATGAAGCTGCAGCTGAGTGTCTGGATTGTCTGCTTATACTGTTGCCGCGCTGCTTTACATGGGCGATGTCGGTTCTTCTTGCTGTCCGTGTGGCTAGAATGCTCCTGGGCATGCGGTGAATCCAGCAGCCAACAGCACTGATTTTTGATTAGCCGCCGTGGCCATTGAACAGCCCCGGCCGAGCGCTCAGCCAAGCTGCAAGGTGGCAGAACATGCAGCGTGCGCCGAAATCGCAGCCTGCCAACTTGAAGCAACATCGTTGGCATGCACGTCTGCAAAATTGCAGGAGTGCCCCCTGGAATCTGTTGAAATAACCCACTTGAGGGCCGCACATGATGTTGTCTCCGTCTCGGTATGTAAACACCCACACGCACATATGTGTATATATGTATACAGCATTATATAAGTATATAGCAAGCCAGCTCTCGAACGCTGGGCAAAACCGTGCTTGAAGTGAGCGGTGCACGGACCATTGAGAACTACACATGACTCATAGGAGTCTGCCTTAGACGAAGGCGAAGCGGAATCGAGCCACACAAAAATGTCACCAAGTCGAGAGTCTGCTGTACGATTTCGCTGACTCACCCTGGGCCTTGACTACGGCACCGTATCAAGTGTGAAGACTCTGAGAACTTTGAACAAGACCTGTCCGGGCCTGGTCTTACCAAAATCCTGGTGCATGGGGTGCACTTTCCACGTCCATGTCCCTGGCACGCAAGATGTCTGTAGTGCCAGCATGTGCCAGTTGGATACACTCGCGACACGCATTGGCTTTTACATGCCCTAATGCCGGACACAAACTTCTGGCGTCTCTTGTCGTTTGCAAATTGCGAATTACCACACGACAGGCCAACGTCAAGGCCTTTGCGCCGATGGACTGCCCGTACTGTGGCTGGTAATCATCGTCAAGCAACTCCTGTCATTTCTAGTATCAATCGTGCCAACATGGCTGGAAGGGATGGTGTCGCACCTAGGATCATCTGGGCCACAGGAGCCTATGCAAAGTGGCCTCTGCTTCCTAAGGACATGTGACTTCTGATCCCAGCACGTCAAAACAATGGAAGACATCGCGCTTTCTCAATCTCGCCTCAATCGCCTCCATCCGGGACTGAACCGCCTGCGCTCCCTGCACATCATCTCTGGGTGGGGCAGGCTGCCGTCGAGAGCTGGCCGACGATGAACCTGACAGTATGTAGCTGCCACTCACGGCTCGCAAGCATCTGCGGCGAGTTGGTACAATTCATCCGTTGAGGTCGCAAACCAAGCCAAGCTGCTCTGGAACTCGTGTAAGGCATGGTCCCAACTTTCGCTCTCCAAAGCTGAAGATGAAGAAGAAAAAGAGTTCCTAGGCGTTCTGTGCTTTACGCTCTTCCGTGCAAGAAATACGAGGTGCTGCACGTCGTTGCTTCAGACTAGCAGAAATGAAGACACCAGGAGCCATCCGTGAGACCTTGCCCACAAGCTGACAGCCTTTTCGGCAGACTCATGTCAGTCCGCCCCTTCTGCTCGGATCGAGCTCTATTGGTGCGTTTGGCCGGCCTAGCTCCCATGCTACATGACAGGCTATACCCGCATTCTCTAAAGTGCGAGGTAATGGGGCCAACTGCAATTCAGACTGACAGGCATGTGAGTGGGGTAGCTGAACATTTATGGACTAGGCTGCACTATCTTCATGATGTGGCTATCCCTGCTACCCGCTACCCTCTGAGGCAAGGTCTCCTCGAACACCGAGTGGTGCGCCTGTCAGACTGTGGTTGACTCGAAGGTCTCGAAACGCTTTGTCACGGCACAGTCACAGTAGCTCGTTATATTATGGTATCTCAGGCTTACATCCGGCCAACCCCGCCACTTTGGACTGCAAGCAGAATGCACACCATGCTCCTGTCCAGCGGAGGCCACAGAAAACCACTGCTCTTTCTCGACATCCGCGGAACTGTTTTCGTGACCTGGTCGCTACCAGCAACATGGAGCCGATCATTGTCACGATTGCTGCTGACTTCGATGGCGCTTACTGGCCATTCCGAGTGTTCCTTTTTCAACTCTAAACGAAAAGGCGCTGGATCGTCAAACCCACGTCAACAACAGTTGCGCCGCCGGCACTGTTTAAGAAAACATTGAAGAAGACAGTCAGCCCTTGGATTTGGGCGAACATGTGCTAGAATATTGCCACAACCACGCAAACGGAGATGATAAATTCAGGTCCCCTGCCCCCGAAATCCAATCTGTTAAATGCTGCCCGCAAGACCAGAAACGCAGGACCGTACATGCAGTACAGTACCTTGAAATTTGGGCTTAGGGCTTCGGGATGTAAAGCTTCAGCTTAGAATGGTCAGGGCTGAGTACAGCGAGAGTTTCGGAGTTCGCCTGGAGGCAACCACTGGAAGGGCATGGGCGGACCGCCCAACACCAAAACAAAACACATCAGCCACTGAATGTCTTAGTTCCTGTGTTTTTGTCGGGCCGCCCAAAAGGGAACAACAAATTCAGCCCCGAACTTCTCACTTGCTGGGGTTTTGGCCGGACCGTCCAGAAAGGAAACAAGACATTTTTTGCCTCCCGCCTGGCTAGGACGAACCTACGATGCAGGGTGCGATACTGGACTCACGAGATGACTGTACACCTTTGCTGATGCCCGGAGGAGATGCCCCTTGAGGGTATCTGGTCTTTTGCCCCGTGCCAGCAGCATGCAACTCATCGGCAGCATATGTTGCACACGCCACCACTTTCACTTTGACCGCTCACTCGCTCACTTTGCCCCCGTTCACTCGCTTTACTCAAGCTGTCTCGTTGGTACTCCTGTACTCTTGCACGCATTCACGCATTTACGCAACTTGCTACTCATCCACATGGCCACCCATCTGCTGCATTGTCGTGCATTCACTTGTGTTGTCATGCAGTCGTGCAGTCGTTCAGCGTCAGCGCCTTAAGGTCGCAAAGCCTCCATGTGCGATGGCTCCATGTACCATCGTTTATGCTTGCAGCGAACTCTGCCATACTGCATCCCTTGTGGGCCAGTCGGTCGTGCAGTTGCAATGAAGTGTGCAGCGAATTCTTCGGCAGATCGGTGAATTCCAGAATTCCCACCACGAGCACAAACCATGCAGTCGACAAATAGTCGTCCATGCGATCCAATCCGTCTCTGTCATCGATACAGCGAATTCCACCAGGAATCTCAGCGCATGAATTCATTCCAAATTCCAAATTCACCCGCAGATTTGTGTCCGGCCGTGTCAGGCAGTCTGCTAGTAGCAACTGTGCCGTTGAAGTCGCCCCTGCAAGCCATTCGCTGGAGCCATCATGCCAGTTTAGTCGCAGTTTTGGCACAATCACGGTGATAGCGCAAGCGCTATCACCGTGATGGCCCCAATCTGCAGGAAGACGTCGGCAGTGCAAAAAGGCCATGGCTTATGGGTGCGTCACCGATATCGTTGCTGAAGTGATCCCTGAATGAAGTCCTGATCCCTATGGTATGTTAGGGCCCATAGCTCCTGGGAGCGCACCCCGATAAGATAGGAACCTGTATACCTTACACCACCCGGACCAGAGTAGGAGCCGAGGGAGGGGGAGGAGACACAAAGACGACGTGACCATGGTGGGTGTTCCACTGTTCGCTCGCAGATTACAATTTTTTTAAATTTTTTGGGGCTTCCGTGATGTGATAAGGGCAGTCAGTTGAACACCCATCACAGTGCTAGTCATCGATCTCGACGACCTCTCTCTCCTGTCTTTGCCCATGTGCACTGGCTTTCTGCGTTGCATCCTTACACTCCGTCCCATATTCTTCGATGCTTCGCTGGTTGTTAAAACTCAGGCGCCACTTGTTGAGCTCCTGCTCAGTCGGCAGTGGGAAATTCCACACTTTCTGCAGGATATTACGGTGGGGCACCGTGAGGGTTCGGGCGTGAATGGGATTGAAAGCAAATCCTTTCCACGAGGTACAGCAGTGCAGTCTGCTCCTACTGGGGAACAGGATGGGACTTTGCTTGACCGAAATTACCTGTCCCATAATGGTCTGTTGATTGTGCAACATCGCATGTGTGCCTTGGTTATCCTGGATCCACAGGTCGCCGGCTTCTTGGCTGGTAAGGCATGTTAGAAAGGAAAGGCCATCACTGTTGTTGAGGTCTCTGTGGGGTCCTTTGCTACCATTGGCAACCACAGCAATTGTGGAGAACCTGAAGTTGGGGGCCCAGGACCTGACAAAACGTGTTAGTGCCATCGTGGTCTTACTGAGGTCAAAGGTCGAGTTAGTTATCTGGTCAACAGCTCGTGGACTCTGTCTTACCACAATGTATGACATGTTGCTTGTGTCATGTGGATCACCTGAGCGCTGGGGCAGTGGTATGGGTCGAGGTCGAAGTCGCTTACCGGCAGGTATTAAGGTCCACAGGTTCAGGATTTCGGAGTGCAGGATTGGTTGATCGCAGGGTTTGTTCAGGAGCTGAGTCGCAGCGCGGTCTTTATGGGATGGCGGGACGTTGGGTTGACATTCGTTAATGAGTTCGGGCAGGGTTGCAACAAGTGGCGGGGAGCTTGGCTCGGGGGCTGCATCCTCACACGTAGAGTTCTCCAGGCCCGCGGGGACCGGAAGACGACGCACATGAAATTGCATGATGCCTCTCTGCTCACCCATTGTCACGGTCCCTCAGAAAAAGAAACTGCAGGCACACCGGCACCGAAAGAGTTAAGGAACCCCGAGTGAAATATGGTACAGGTACAAGGATACATGGTGCTAGATGGTGCATCTGGATTTCTTATTTCCTGTGCTTTTGGTGGTGATGCCCAGAAGGAACATAGGAAATTCAGGCCCTGGATTTCTTATTTCCTAGTTTTTAAGGTTTGGGCGGGTTTTGCACTGATTTTCGACAGTTTCGGAACTCGCCCGAAGGCAAGCAGTAGAGGCGAAGATCTACCATATTCTACTATCCGGCCGCTTGGACGGGTTTAGGATATCTACAGCAAATCGGCGAGAGTTTCGGGAATTCGCCCGAAGGCAACCACCATGCCCTATGTACTGCGAAACAGAAAGCGGTTAGAACACAAACAATTTGGCGAGGTTGAATTCAAGCCTAAACCCTAAAAGGAATAGGTCTGGATAGACTCCGATAAGAAACTCAGGGTACCCTAAACCTGGCGGGTATACCAAGCGCTATCTAAATAAGAAATTCAGGGTACCTGCTTCGGATACAAGAGTTTTCTATCCAATGCTGTCACTGTCATTGACTCCCTGGGAACTAATATTGGGATTCTATAGGGGCTACTATACTACTATTTGCTTAAGAACCCCCAAAAAATAAAAATATATTCCTTATGGGGATAATATAGGGATTATATAGGGACTACTATAGGGATCACAGATTCTGAGCAAAGGCACAGCTGTTGGAGGAAGAAGAACCGCTCCAGCTCTTGCTCCGGGGCCGAGAAGACTTGCGATCGACGTCCTGTGCTGCGCTCACTCCGAATGAAATGAATAGTTCCAAATTCAATAATAATAACAGTAATAATAATAATAATAATAATAATAATATATATATATATATATATAGAGCATATAGGAAGCTAAGGCAACAAGCAGCAAGCACAGCTAGAGCTGAAAAACATCAGGCCCACTAACCCCGGCGTGTGTGATGCCATGGATCCTTTGAGTCACCATGCCTACGCCTGCATCCTGGTTGAAATCTTGACAACTTCCAACTGATCGCAGCGTCTTCGTCAGTGTAATCCCGAGACGGCGTGTGCAATCTTGTGCGGCGATCAGGCCTCCTGTGTCTGAACTTCCAGGAACGTATTTCTCACCTGCAAACATGCAGATTCGAGTCTTTGGCTTTGTCCGTCCTTTTGTCTGGACCCTGGCCGAGTGCACCCGCCTGCACCATGTGGAAGTGCACATCGGATGAGCCCGAAGAATCCATGCTGGAAGGGCTTAATGGGCCTACTGACCAAATGCAATCACTGGGTATCACTGACTGTATGTTGAGATAGTCGGATAGTTGTAGTCACGAGCCCGCTACATCTGAGCTTGTTTCTAACACAGCCGCTATCGATGCCATCCCCTACCCGCGTACTGTCCGGCAGCTTGGGTGATATGGTTGGGACAAAGTGATCCTGAAGGAAAACTGAACCATCAATGGAGCGATTGTCCAAGCTCACAGGATGCAGCAATCATGGTTCAGAGGGGAGTGTGGCTGAGGAACCAGGTGGAACCGGAGCGTCCAGGGGCCTGACAGACAGAAAGTTTCTGGAAAAGCATCTGTCCTGTAAGCACTGAAGGGCTGGTGCTGCCCCGGCAGGGTGGCATTTTTTCGTGAACACAGCGCGAATCGCCTTCAATGTCTTTCTTGCCAGTGCGGGCAATTTTCGGGCAAGTGTTCCTGCAACGTGTCTGTCAAGAGAAGCAGCTCTTGCTTTTGTAGTGCAACCAAGCAAGGCAGAAAAGCGCACTTCAATGTCGGCAGAAAGTGGTGTATAAAAGCTCTTTCACCGCAACTGGTGCCATGCTGGAAGCAGTGCAACAGGCAGTGTTGCAAACAAGGCGGTCGATAGGCTTTCACAGCTGTTGCATGCTCCCCAAGCGAGAAATGACGATTGCATGCCTGAACTTCCTGGAGCCTGGATGCTATAGGATTGGCCCCGACAATCACATTTTTACTGTTGTACAGTAACCATCGTGATGATCACTCTAAACCAGTTCAGCTGCGTGTGAGACTTACGAGTCGGGTGCCTTGCATTCCAGGCTTTTGCCAGGGCCGTACTAGGCTGCAAACATGATAAGCAAACCCTTCTTGAGGTTCGCAATCTTGCCGCTGGGTACGAGTGCCAAACCGGCCCAGCACTACGGGCATCCTTTGACTAGCACATCCCAACTAGCGTAGCTCTCCGGTTGCTGCAGTGCTTCATGCCCGGTGTGAGGAGAGCCCCCAGCTGGCAGCAGGAGAATAACAGTATTGCCGCAGCATCTGGCAACAGCCTTCCTGCAGCAGGACCAGGAGGACAAAGCAAGCGAGATGCTAGATGATGTAGTATGAAATATGTCATAGCTCCCAGGCAGTGGCGCCGTGAATATTTTCGACCCCAATTTTGCTCTCGTGGGTCCCGTCTGGCCAGGACCAGATTCATTGTCAGATTCTTATGTTCGGGCTTGCGCGTCTTTCGCTGTGGTCTGGTTGGACTCTTGGTTGTTAATGCCCTCGAAAGGCTGGACCTTCACTTGTCCTAGCAGGGCCACAAGAACCGGCCTCTTTGAGCAAAGGTGCGTAGCCAGGCACCAATCGTGAAGGCATTGTTCTGGTCAGTGATGTGGCCTTCTTCTCTGATCTGTTGCAGGTTTGAGTCGGCACGGGCCTCTGCCTGCTCTGCGGAGCGTGCTACACTGTCGCCGCTGCATGTATCAGCATTAACCAGCAGGCCTTTCCAGGTAAGCAAGTCGTACCCCCGAAGCCTCCACAAGACCCGCTCCATTTCTCCTTCTTTGGTGAGGTTGTGTCAACGACCCAAACAACTCGTCCCAACAAACTGCCCAAAGACTTACGGACTATGTCAAGTTCTGTGCTGTGGCGAGCGTCGCCTCACCGATGCACCTCACTGGGTTTCACTGGCAGGGAGGCCCTAGACATGTCGCTTCTCTCTCTGCTCTGATCCTGAGGACAAGCCTGCAGGCTTGAGCAATCTGGTGAGAAGCTCGCGGTCGGAGAAATGATTTCACTGCCGCTCGCAATGGCTTCTAACACAGGTTAGCGGTTATATAGCTCCTCTACCGAAGCAATGCCAGAAACAGCCTAAGGCATCTTCTTCTCAGTTGTCATGTGTTACGCTCGAAGTAAAGTTAGGAAGCCACGGCGGCAGCCGTTTCTTTGAAAGTGCGGCTACCGTAGATCAAGGCCGAAGGCCAAATCTCTGAAGACTGAATCGCTGCGACCTCCTCCCGGACCGGGTTTGTTGCCCGATTCTTTATGAATTAGTATGTCGTGGCCTGCGATGTTCGGCATCGGGATGGGAAGTGACGAGCTAAGTTCCTCGGCAGAGTGCTTGCAGCCTCCTGCTCAAGCTCTCAGGCTCTCTTCGTACGGTACACATGTATAAGAACCCGAAAAGGCCAGCCATAGCCAGCAAGAAGGCAAAGCAAGCAGGAAAAACGGACCGATTACACTCTCTCGGCTCGTGTCTGCTTTTGGCAGTCATGAGTCGAGAGAAGGTCCGATATACCACCACGGCTATGTCCCCTGCTTCTGCATAGAACATGTTTTGCCAGCCCCAGGAAAATCTGTGTCTTTCAACCTTAATTCCGTCTGAATATTGGCCAACAACGTCTAAGTCTTTCTGATTCAGGGTCTGGCTTGTCCTTCTTTGTGTGCAACTTCCTTAGCATTAGCAAAGAAGGTTCGCGTGCACCTCGTACCACTGCCAGACCTTGGAAGGCATCGGGTGTCATCTCTTTTGCTGGAGGAAAGAGGGAGAGAAGTCCAGGTGCCGGATTTTGATAGAAGCTTAAGCCAGCTGATGCAAACCTCTGAATGAAGGACCTGTGGAGGCCTCCAACTTTGCCTTGGAATCCGGCGTGTGCGAGACCCCAGGCCACACAACGCTGTGCCATGCCGTGCCGCAGGCCTCTGGGCAGGGCTCGGATAGGCTGTCTGCGACTCGGTGATACACGTTCACACGACCAGCGACCGAGTTCCCATAATGTCACAGATAATCGAACTGCAGCTGCTGCGTTGCTGATTGGACACGTCGGGAAGTCAGTCAGTTTTCAAGAAGGCAAGCATGTCTTTGACTCGTCTGATGCCCAAATCCGAGGCCGTGACGTGGATGTGAATCGTGGTGCTTTACAGGGAGATGAGAATTTTCCCCTCAGCTGCGGCAAAGAAACATCGCACTCCAAGCTGGGCAGGTGAGGAAAACAGCTCAGAGTCCGAGGTGCTTTGGACTTCTTGAGGGCTGGATCCTCCGAGGAAGCTGAGCTGGGCTTGACATCGTCGGCAGGCCTCCATTGTGCGAAAGATTGCCAAGGTAACGGGAAATCTTGATAAGATGTCTGCTAGGACCGCCACATCCATGGCCTGCAACTACCTATGATCGTGACACTGCTGAGCTCATGCCTCGTGTCCCCTCTCTTCGCACTACGCTACCGTCTGATTCCGTTTCGCCGTAAGACGGTGAAGCGCTAGCTCCACGAAAACACATCAGCGAGCTCGGTGGACTCGAAGCACTATGGGTTAAAGTGTATAATTAAATATATACATATATATACATATATATATATGCCACATGATACGGACCCTGGGCCCTTGGGTTGTACAGCTAAGTCCACGATCCTCGACATCTCGGCTATGGATACCCCTGACGAAGAGCGAGCCAGCTTCGTTGCGACAAAACAACGGACCGTCGACAAAGACTTCACCGAGTGTGGACATCGAGGCGGGGATGCAATTCTGTCGAAAGATTGTCTGGCACAACCCTTACAACCCAGGCAGTCTCCAGGCAGCCTGCTGGAGACCAAATGAGTAGAAGCTACACCATGTATCAACACAAACGCGATGATGATGCAGCAGCATAGGCTGGTGCTTCAAGTGATATTGTGGAGGTACCTGAAGATGCTGCCCAGAAGCTGCAACCCAGGCACTTTCGGAGCCGGCAGCGCTTCATCCTAAGTGCTTTCAAGCTGCAGCTGACTGTGGCCCAGTTCCAGTTTCACATACATGGCCCTTGTGAGCAGAGAACTGCGTGCTAGTCCAGCCACCCACTTGAAGACAAGGGGCAGCCTTAGCAAGGTGTGCAAGGACTTCCTCTTCATCCTTCTCGCCCAAGCTCTTCAGAAGGCTTCGCATATATGGGCTTGCTCCTGCAATCCTTGGAAGTCGTGCATTGGATATACTTACAGCGTGGAGCCGCAATGTGGCAAGGCTTCTGACTTCGTTAGATTCTGGCATGCTCTCGCAATAATTGCCGGCAGCCGGCTTCTCCAGAGCCTTCTTCTTCTTCTCAGGGTTGTCCTTGCAATGTGGCGAGGCGCAGCCCCTCGCTGCTCTGGTGATTCTACTTATCGGCCTACTATCTGCCGGCTGCCGAACATACCTCCTAGGTCCTAGCATGCGGAGGCGTCCATGGCAAGAACCGGCCTTGTACTCCTCGTAAACTTTCCTGGGCAGCTATCGTTTGCAAACTGCAAAATGCCAGAGTGCGAAAGAGCAGGGAACGGAAACCTGGACACATGCACTGAGGACGCACCCGAGGCTGTTTAAGAACCACCGGGTGGGGGTGGGCAGCCATCATTGTTGTTTCGGAGAACCTTGAACTTAAATACCAGACAGAGAGGGGAAGCGAGGGGTGAAGGGCGAGGGCATCTGTATTGTTATTTCAGGCTGGAAATAATGGCTCCATTCTCGATGTCCATTTCATGCTTTTTCGGAGGGGGCGGCGGGGGCAGGCATTATCTGTAGCAGAAAGTAACGGATCCATCTTCCATTTCGAACCCAATACCCATTGTCCATTTCCATTTCATTATCTTCGGAAGGGGGACTGTCCTTCTGGTGCGCAAAATAATGGATCCAGTTTCCGTGTCCATTTCATGAATTTTTCGGAAGGTGGCGGAGGGGGGGGGGGGGGGGGGGGCGCGCGCGCACGCGCCATTTTTACTGTTTCTATACAAAAAAAATAATGGATCCATTTCCATGTCATCATTTTCGCAGGGGGTATTGTTTCTCTGGCGCAAAATAATGGATCATTTCTCTAATTATTTCCGTTTCACTATTTTTGGAGGAGGGACTGTCCTTCTGGTGCAAAATAATGGATCCAGTTTCCATGTCCACTTCGTTATTTTCCGCAGTGGCGCCGGGGGGGGGGGGGCGCCGTTATTATTGTCATTTTCTTTTGGAGGGGTTCCCATTATTATACAATATTTCTATAGCAGAAAATAATGGATCCATTTTCCATGTCCATCTCATTATTTTCGCAGGGGCCCCGGGGGGTTAGGAGGCGTGTGGGGGGGTCTCATGATTAGTTTTTCTATAGTAGAAGATACTGGACCCATTTTCCATTTCGAATCCAGTAGTTTCTCGGGCACGTCTTGCATGCACTTGTGTGCGTGACCATGCTGGAAGCTGCAGCCGAAGTTCTGGATGGTCTGTTTGTGTTGTTGCCTTGCTGCTTTACAAGGGCGATGCCGATTCTTCCTGCTGTCCATCTGGTCGAAATGCTCCTTAGCATGCTCACCAGTGCTCGCGATAGAAGGTCAACAAAAAACATTCCTCCATCTCCCAGCCAAGTTGCAAGATGACAGAACATACAGCGGGAACCAAATTCGCACCCTGCCAGTTGCCAATGGCTAACGCTCATGTTTCCATGGTCTCATTCATGGAGCAACCGACGTCGACCGACCATCCCGAAATGGCCGAAACGTGAGCAGATGAGTGACAGGCATTGGCATTGCATAAGCACTGATGTGCGATGTGCGCCAGCGCTAGGGCAACGTTCGGTCCTCCTCTTCCGTGTCTAATGAGACCACCCTCCATCTAACAGCCGCGGGACCACGCGTCCATTTCCACTCGCCCGCTCCGGTAAACCTTTGGTCACTTGTCCTAGACCTTCCCACGTCAACCCAGCTTCGGGGAACCTGCAAGGACTGATAGGCAAACAGGCAGCTCCTGTTGGCCGAAAAACCGAGGTTCGTGGGGGATGTAGGAGTGTGGCTTCCTTCCTTGCTTACTTAGGGGGTCTCGACAGCTTCCCCTGGATGAAGTACAGGACTCTCCGAAACGCACAAATAAATTCCACCATGCAGCAAAGGCTATTGCAACTGGATGCAAGACGGAGTGTGATACAACTGGAGGCGCTTCACAAGAGTCCAGCCTGGTCGCACCAAAATCCTGGTGCACGGCGTGCATTTCCCACGGCCATGTCCCTGGCGCATGGGTTTTGCTTTGCCGGTGCTTTTCTGGCATAGTGTTTTTCTCGTAGTGCTCTGCGCATGTTTCGGCAAGCCTCTGGGTGCAACTTGGACCATCTCAAAAACACAGGCCTTGGCGCCGATGGACTGTCCATACTGTGGCTGATAGTCATCATTTATTTGCTCCTGACATCTGGGCACTTTTTGGCAATCGGTGCCATCCATTCTTCAGCACTGCCTGCTAGAAACCCCCGGCGTTGTGAATGCTAGGTTGACCACAGCACATTGCCCGTCTGCCTCAATCCGGAGCTGGACTGCAGGTGCCAGCTGTGCACCATCCCTGGGTGGAGGTGGAGGCGGTGGCACACGTCTCGAGCTTGGTGATGAGCCTGGCAGTTTGGCTGCAGGGCTTGGCTTTGATGAATCTCTTCAATCTCCCGAAGGCAAGGGACAAACCTAGACTGCCTGCCAAGCTGCTTTGGAACTCATGCATAGCACTCTCCCATGGGCTTTTGAACTCGTGCATAGCATTTTCCCATGAGTCGGGATCCAAAGCCGAAGATGAAGAGGAATTCCTGGGCGGTGATTTTTCCCCACGGGCCGAAGACCGTATCGCCGGAGTATTCTGCCATTGGGTGTCGGGTGAAGCACAGTATGACTCCGCGTGTGTTGGGATTCCTAAGCCTGCCGTAGGATGGCAAAAAAGGAAAGGAAAGGCTCCATGTCTCCAAAAAGACCGCTTGGGGCAAACCTAATCGCGATACTTTCTGAGGCGAGGTCTCATCGAACACCGAGTGGTGCGCCTGTCGTCGCATGCAGTCGGATTTTGGAAGTGGCCACCAAGCATGAACCGCCTTCGTGCAGGTACCTACGCACATATGGAGCGTGCTAGTATACATTCCTGCAGCGTCGGTGGCTTGCACCCTGCGGCCGCAGTCCTGTCCACTCACGGTCACGGAGAACCATTGCTCTTTCTCAGCATCTCCGGAACTGTTTTCGTGACCTGGGCTTGTGACTTCAAGAAGTGCTCGGTCTTTTAGAAAGCTGACACATCCAAGGCGATTTTCCGAGTGGCAGCTGTTGGACGAAGAGGAACCGCTCCAGCTCTTGCTCCGCCGTGGTCGAAGAGATTTGGGTCCGACGTCCTGGTCTCTAGGCAACGTGTCATATGCGAGCCAAATGCTAAATTCAGGGGGGGGGGGCTACCAGCACTTCTGAACGCTGTCAGCCAGCACTTCTGAAAGCTGTATATCAGAAGAAAGGACTACCCAGTTGCCACGAGCAAATGTTGCGACAGGTGGTAGGTCAGGTTACTTGCACGACTGGTTTTCTTTGGCTCCGTTCGTTGCCTGTCTTGTCTGAACCACGTATGGCTCGTCCGAGTTCGGTGCGCTATCGCTTTGCTGCCATGAGTGCTTCCTGCCTTCCGGGAACTCTGCAAAGAGCGGTGCCTTTGAGATGTGTTCCCTGCCACACGGGGATTCTTCCAGGCAGCAGTGGACTGTTTGGACACGCGCCCAAGCAGTTTTAGTGGAAATGCATTTTGCAGGTTGAGCTAACAATCGTCCCAAGACTAAGAGCCAAACTCAGCGTGAAACAAAGCAGACTGACCTGTGCCCGCAGGTCCTCTGATGTCTGCACTTCCAGAAACGTATTTCTCACCTGCGGTGTGGGAACCCTTCTTCATGCTTCAATGCGGTTGGCCAAGCTTTGAGGTGCCGCGCCTGCACCATGTGAAACTGCATGTCCGACCCAGCGGAAGCCATCGTGAAAGTGCCGTCAGAAAAACAAGGCAAGCAGATCGACAACAGATGTAGCTGCAATGTCAAACAAATGTTATGCTGAAGTGCGTCTAGAGAAACATCTGGACAGGCCCCCGGCCCACACGCTTTGACCAGAAGGTGGCTGAGCTGAGGGTTGACTGCTGTTCAACGGCCACTGATTCCAGTCTGCAGACAGTCTTCCAAATCGAAACTCGGGTCTATGGCCGCTTCCTGATCTTACTTCAGCATCGCCAAGGAGGTTCCATGCTCCTGCGAAGCATTATTTGTCATCCGGCCTGGGGTCACATCATCTTCATGCGAACAGAATCGGACTGGCAAAGCCGTGGCATGCCAGTCAGGGCACAATGAAACCGACTTTGCCAGAGATCTTCCGCGTGATGCTGATCTCGACAAGGGCGATGGAATGCAATGGAAGCCCTTTTTGTTGGCTGGAAGCGCTGCTTTGCAAGATGCCTCTGAGAGGACCGTCTACACACCGAGCCCGTGCGGTGAGACTGTGCAGCAGGCCAGAGTCAGACATGCTGTGTCTGCTAATGGCTGATGGATTACGTTTGATCTGGCGTGTCTTCAGTGATCACGAGGTTTCATGCTTTGCATGCGCCCCGCTCTCACCAGGCAGATAATCTGTCTAATTGATTTTGGCTTTACGCCGAGAGTCTTTGCGGCCATCAAGCCTGCAAGCCTCTCAGCTTCATCCCAGCGGCTGCGGACCCTCTTCTCCTGTCGATGTTGGAGTTGCAGGCTGCATTGAGGCGACAACAGTGCAAGGATCATTGATCATTCCATCGAATGTGCAGGGAAGCCTGCCACTTGCTAATGAGCCACTTATGAGGCATCGTTACCGTTTCTCCATCCAAACAGCAACTTGGGCTGCCGCTTGAGGTTTTCGCTCGATTCCTTTCTCTCTTCGTACATGGGAACCGCCAAGGTAAAGCACCTCGCCTCGGTTTGCTTGGGCAGTTTCCTTCAAAGTCGCCATATGTCAAGGACCACTTTAGACGAGCAAACATGTTAACATGCTCAGAACCGCACGAAGTCGTATCTCAAGGGCATGAGATCCTGCTGGTAGTTCGGCGCTTCGTACCTTTTCCAATGGGACGAGTCGCAGCGATGCAGATGAACGAATACTTGAAAGAATTGAGGGCCAGATGGCAGCTTCATCCGTCTCCCTCATTTTCTCAGCAGCCCACCAAGAGATCAGATCAGATCTGGTTCGCCAGCACGATGCGCAAACTGCCTTCCAGCCAGCACCAGCAATGCCACAAGCGAGAATGGGACACCCAAGCAAAGGAACGTGGACTTGAAAGCTAATTCCTGTCGGAGGAACTCTCCTCAACCGCACGAGTTTATCTGGATTGCCGGAGCATACAATTCAAACAAGTGCGGCGCCTGTACAGGAAACTCGTTCACTAGAACGCCACTGATGCCTCGGTGATCAGTGCGAGCTTCCATGTTGTGTGTCGCACGGTTCTCAGTGCCGTGCCTTCTGCAAAAAGCAGGTTGCAAATGGTCCCGATGTCTTTGGGAGCCTCTGAAGGTCGTCCACCACGCTGTAAAGCTTAAACGAAACAGTTTAAGCGGAGTTTAAGCGGCCTAAACTCAACTGCTGAGCTGGAGAGCCAGACCCTCACAGCACAGCTTGACCCTCGTGCCTTGGCTGCCAATCGCTTGTACATATCCACGTAGCGTTGCATCCTGTGCAAATTCAAGGTGTCCCTCTTTGAACAGCACAGAACATGAGCACAAGCACGCTCTTGAAAGAAGCACGTTAATATGAATCATACAGAACTGTGTGACCGCCACAGTCGTAAGTGTGCTAGATCTAGCAATCAAAAATAGCAACGCTCACAAACATGGGTTGCTGCACCATCAAACGATAGCACACACTATGGGTGATGACAGAAGACGGCCAAGCCCAGCCGCTGCTGTTGGCGGTGGTGGGTGATAGCGGTCGTTGCAGCAGCAGGGTTATATAGTGATAGCAACATTCGTCATCTTGCTGACAATCATTGTAAGAGCAGTGCGATTACAGGGCACCGAGCTGCTGCTACCGCTACTCTGCTACTCTACCATTGCTCCTCCTCCTGTTCCTCTTCCCCTCCTCCGCCTCCTACTACTACTACTACTACTACTACTACCACTACCACCAGCACCACCATCACTAACACAACATGTCCCTGCTGCGGCGGCTGCTACTCGCACTGCTGCTCCGTGCGGCACGGGCTTCAGGCCGCCGAGGCACGGTCTGAAGGATTCGACTTTGGCGATCTCCAGTAGCATCAACTTGTCACCTGAATCTTTAATCTTTGTCTGGGCAAATCTGAGCAGAAATTGGCCCTCGTGCCTAGTCCTAGTCTCACACAAGCTTCTACTTCGTTTTTGTTGTTCTGCCGCTACCGGTGCCCGCTTTCCATGCCTGTAGCAGCTCGCTTCTTGGTGCCCTCGAAGCCCGGCACAAGGCCTGATCTGCAAGTGAGAGCTATCAAAACATAACGAAACTAACAGCCCGTCGTTTTGCTCGATAAGACACGAACACCATTGGGCCCATGTGAAACATGCACCAATGCTAGATTCGCGTGCACACCGGTTTGCATCTGAAACGAGAAGTCTTCCTCAGCACGTCGCCATCAACCGTGTGAAGGCTCATCTTCGCCAGCGGGCTGCGATGCTTCATGAGTTCGAAAACCTGGAGCGAACATTGGCAAGCCACATCCACGGCCGCAAAGCCAATTGACTCGTCGGCGCATGCAGTCATGTGATCACCTGCCCACTTCAATCCCTTGTAGCAGCACGCGTAAAATCAAAGGATCAGCCTTTGAAGTGCAGAGCCAAGGCCTGATCAGAGGACCACCAAGAATGCACCTGGACAGTCGTTTGGCTCCACCGCTGCGCATGCATGTCTGGAGTATCGCCAGGACTTGCGACTGCAGCATTCAGAGGCTCTGACGGCTTCCAGATCCTTGAAGCAGGCCACGAGGACAGTCTCAAAGTCGAACACGGCTGGATTTAAGTGGTTGGGTTCCTCAATGGCGGCCCATGAATTGATATTCCGTCGAGTCGGGGCAGGACATCACAGCATACCCGTCACACTGTAAGGCCCCTTCCACGTTGTGGTCCTTCCCATCCATGATATCCCACAGATCGACCTGATCAGACCTGACACAATATAACAACGCTGTGCGCTTCTGAAACAAAGGAGACGTAAAGCAAGCTGACAGGAGCCACCAGCCCGAATGTATTTTGGGAGCTTCCATGTTGGTTTGCTGCTTCCAGGACTCCGCCACGACACGCCTGGAACCTGAACACGCATCGCCGCGTGGAATTCCCCTCAGCCTGGCCCCGAAGTGGCCCAGCAACGTCGCCACCCGACACTTGCGAAGGTTCGCAGACGCTTGCCAACGCTGCGCAGCCATCGCGCGAACTGCCCAACCTCCGCACCCTCACCATGCATCTCACTCGTGCATGAAAGCAGATTGCTTGGCAGCCGGCCGAACACACACTTTGCCACCATAAGCCTCCACTGTTTGGCGGGGACAAGCTTGGGTTGCCAAAGCGCCACACTCGTAGGCTCCCGGCACGAATCTTGGCCTCAAGTCCGTTCAGGAAGCGGTCTGCATCCCTCTTTCGGTCAGGATGCCTCATATCTAACAGCCACGTTCTGGAACTTCTGAGACGATGCCCTGTGTGTGTGCCAGAGAGCCCGACTTCTTGAACAGACCCAGCACGAACTGCTCCGCCTAAGGTCAATGCCGAAGCCAGCGCACGTGCATAGGCAATACTTGCCTGTGGAAACCTGTGCTCACGCAGGCTTTGTGCACGCATTGGCCAGTGCCAGTTGAATAGAGGCTCCGGCATTAGGTGCAGGCTCCCAGGCCATCAAGTGCCTGACTTGCAAAGCTTAGCTTCAGAGCGAGAAGCGACTGTGACTCCTGCATTCGAGTTCCAGCGCTTCTCCATGTAATGCGGCTTTCGGTGAGTTGCAGTTGCTCAATTCAAAGCCAACCTTAAGAAAGCCTGGAACTTCGGACCCTGACCTCCTAACTAACCAGCCCAGAAATTTCCCGAGTATTTCTTTGATCAAGCTCCCTGTGAGACAAACTGCTGCCGCTTATCTTCGCCGATTCTGCTGAGTATGGACATATCGATCGCCGACACAAGCTCAATCTTTGGTGGGCGCCGTATAGTAAAGAACACGTCCCAGGTTTTGTCCGCCGCCACCCGCAGACACCATGATCCGTCGTCTTGGTTCTGGAAACTGCTGCTCAGCAGCATACCAGAAAAATTCCAAATTTCCTCAATACTGGAACGGCGCAGCCCTCTGAAACGGAGCTTCCACAAGGAATCACACCGTCTGGAGCAATCCAAGCACGCTGCACAACGATTGCTTCTACTGAAGCTGGCCACTGGCGACTTGTCTCAATGCAATGCCTTCTATAACCAGGTGCACAAATTTCGCGCTGAACTCTTACCACCGGGGTGCTGGCCTACAACGCCATCTCTAATTTATTGAAGCACCGCCGCATGCAAACAGCTTCAGGCTACCGCATCTGACATGATACAGTATGGTTCGGTAGCTGAACCAAAGGAAGCTCTCAGCCTCTAGAAACCGTCCTCCATATCATTTCCGGAACAAGTGCTGACTGTGATATACAACAACATAGTCCTGCTTCTAACAGCAGCCGAAGGATAAGCGAATTGGGGCAGATGGTCTTCATCCACTCCCCTAGCCCATCACGTGCTGTTCAATAAAGCCCCATGGAACTTTTTCGAAGTCCAAGTCCTCACGGTGGTTGACGACGTCAGCTACCACTTTGATTAAGCACACTAGCCGGCGAAGAGATGAAGAACATTACGTTGACATTTAGACAACACTTATTATCTGCCAGATATCCGCGCTATTGCAAACGATCATGGCGCTGAGCCACGGACTTCAACCAATGCCCCGCATGTACGGTCTGACAGCTCCGCTGTGCCTTCTGAGGGCGCGAACTTCGCAGTCTGTCACCATGAAACCAGTCGGATATTAACTGTCAACCAGGATCACCATCTACAGAGCCCCAGCCCAGACTCCAACGCCCCTTGGTCCTGAGGGCAGCGCGATCATCTGGCAGTTCTCAAGCCTTCAGCTCTGAAACCTGCCTCGAATTAGCGGGCTCAGAGCAACTGTGGAGTTAAGTCCACTTGAAGCCTCTCTTATATTTGACTTTCCAACCTCAAGCAAGTGGTATACAATAACATGCAATGAGTTGCAACAGACTCTTTTATGCAGGGTGTGCCCTGGTCGAGGCTGTATTGAGGTACACATTTTGGCTTGCCGTGGTCAGGGGCAGCAAAGCTCAAAAAGGTTTTGACCTTAGCATGATTGCTAGGCTAGAAAGCTTCACAAGATGAGCAAGGAAGCAGGAAATAATGAACACGATGCGCTTAGGTGGCAGTCTATCTTTCGTCATGCCAACAGAAGTAACAGTTCAAGAGCGACGGCCACCTAATCCCAAATGGAAGCAGCAGCCAGCCTTTCGATGAATCTTCGGCAGGCGGGCGCTTTGGATCTCACAAGCGACCTCCTGCGGGCTGCTTTCCATCCTATTCGCGGCGTTGTATTTAGTGGTGTGTCATGATGCCCATACTGGCAATAGTAGCTTTACTTATGTAGTTATGTTATGTAGTAATATCAGTTTACACAGTATATGCATATAGTATCATATAGTCATCATGATGCTACTTACGAGTACGCCAAGAATCATGGCAACGGTAGCAACAAAGAGCTACAGCGAATGTTAAACAGTTGAGCGCCACTATGGCACACCTTGTCCATGAATTGCTTATGTATCCGACAAGCTGAAAAATGGCAATCATATGCTTTCCATGCTCAATACCTCGTCTGCCACGGTAGTACACGATGAAACGTGGACACTGGAAGGTTCTCCTGTTTACGTCTTCTCCATCCTAAAAAACGTAAGTGTTAAGTCTATCTAGCAACATGCCACTTCCAGGCTGCGCCTCGGGCACGTAGGCCATAAGAAGGACAGGTCTTCGGACCTCGGCTTCTTTTCGCCCCAAGTGAGGAAGGAAGTCTACTTAGTGTACTTTCAAGAATTGTAGGGTTGGGATGATGATGTTGCAGTGGGTCGATGTGAGCAAGCTGGAGGCTGCAGTACAGGACCCCCTAGCCGATGCTGTCGAGATTCCCCAAAGTAAGCTTCGCCGGGTTCAACGCCAAAGCCCACTCGCGAAAAACGCATCCGACATCAATGTGGTTGATGACTTTCGGGGCTCACTCTCGCACAAACCAACTGATGATTTCAGGCTGCTTCTGGGCCGCTTTGAGTTCAAGTTTAAGTGTGGAATTTGCAGCATGTGCGTAAGCCCCGGACGACCCTTGCATCGCCGAAATCCAGCTGCGATGCCAAGGGTGGCAAAGACCCATCCTGCTTCTTGACCTGAAGCGATATGCGACAATTCCTGACAACTTCCTTCGGGAGTGTGGCCAGGCTTAACCGCCATCCTGCCATATCCTGCCATCATGCAAAACTGGGCGTTTTGTCTTTGCAGCTACCTGATTCCGAGCTCAAGTTCAATCCAGGGACAGGTCGGCGTCGCCGGCAGTTGGCCCAAGTTCGAAAGGCCGGGTGGAGGTCTCCGTCTTTCCAGCTCCCGGCCTGGCGCGACAATCGCTGAAGCTTGCTTCACTTACTTTTGGCAGCATTGATCTTTAGTGCAGCTACTTTTGCCGCTTGATAATGCAAGCCTGGACCCTGCAGCATTCCATAACTTCTGCGTAAGCCTCTATTCAGCCTGGTATGCGTGCTGGCTGCATGGACTTCGGAGAGCCAAGGAGCCACTACTATACAGTATGAGACATCAGCACAAATGTCGAGCTTCCACTTGCAGTTCACGAGAAAGACTTTTCGAGGTTCCCTGCCTCCAGGGCCTTAGCCACAGTTTGACCTGCCAGAGGCTTTGGCTCTCGCACACTGTTTTGGGGGGTAGCCCTTTCTGGTTCAAAACGTCATAACACTATACCAGCTCGATAACTCTCACTCCGCGGAAACTCGCGTTCTGCTTGTCTTGGGGAGAACACGTCTTCCCTTCCCCCCACCTTGGCCAGGACCCGCCAACTCCTCTGAGACGCTGTCCCCTGTTTTGATGATGCCTCAGACTGTGTTGGGCATGTCGGGGTAACGAACGAATTAGCTGGAACTCAAGCAAATCTTGACCAGGCTTGCTTTGCGGACAGCCCTTCTAAGCCAGCTTCTCGCCGTTCATAAATTCATAAGTACGAGCTCCCTCGATTCATGCGGGCAAAAGGCTGGGCAAGCGCGACATCGAATCGGCTGCCTTCTCCATATCGGCCTGCGGCAGTTTGCAGAGAGCATCAGATTTCCAAGTGAACTGATGCCGACGGCATGTACGATGTCCAGCGCTGACAAGCTTCTTCGGTCTGCGTGGCCCAGCGGTCTAAGAAGACGACTTCCTGGAATAGTTACTTGTCCGCAGTTTTGGGACACCCGTGAGGCGAAGAGTTTGCAACACATCTTGATGGAGCTTTGCAGTTCTCAAGCTTCATGTGTCAAGAGAGACTGCAGCATGCATGCCACTTCAAGTCGTGGCTCGTCTATTGACAACGTGCCAGTACCGGTACCGTCGAGGATGTTGAAGAGGCCTTTCCTTAGAACACCAGTGCAAGTAGCTCAGCAGCAGGAGGAGCAGAGGCTGTCGCTGAAGCCCTAGCAGTGGCGGCGGCGGTGGTGGTGGTGGTGGTGGTGGTGGTGGTAGTAGTAGTAGTAGTAGTAGTAGTAGTAGTAGTAGTAGTGTCAGCAGAAGCAGAAGCAACAGCAGCAGCAGTGGCAGTTGTAGTAGCAGTAGTAGTCGCAGTAGTAGTAGCAGCAGTAGTAGTAGTAGCAGTAGCAGTAGCAGTAGCAGTAGCAGTAGCAGTAGGAGTAGTAGTAGTAGTAGTAGTAGTAGTAGTAGTAGTAGTAGTAGTAGTAATGATAATAGTAGTGGTGGTAGTGGGTGTCGTCGTTGTCGTCATGTAATCAAAACGTGATGAAAATTAGGTAGGAGGACAAGTTGCAGCACTGATGGTCTTCTGGAAAGTGTAGACCCGAAGCAACAACCGAGACCTCCCAACTGTTGTGTGAGGCACTCGCATTAGACTGCATATAACATGTGTCTAGATCACCCCAAGATTGCTTTTGCTCCACAGGGAACGGCTAACGCTCGAAGAGGCTCAGATTGCCACGAAACCCATATATCCGGCATGCTCTCTTGAACTCCTTCAGAGACAGAGATTTGGAGCCATCCTCATCGAAGACCTGAAGTCAAGGGTGGATGTAACCCAGTTGACAGGAAAACTGCTTCCATTAAGGAAGAAGCGCGCAAGTGCTGAAGCAGGGGGGGGCGGTGTTTATGGGTTGTCATTGTGCTTTTGGCTTCCCTGTCGCTCCACGTCTTGAAACTGCGAGATGAGGTGCGGAAAACATCGATCGTACGCTGCCAAACTCCTCCATCGCCCAGTTTCGGAAGTCCTAAGTTGCAGGTACTACGATTAGGGAACTTGTGGTGCACAAGTTCAACATCCAATCGGATGATCATGATAATACGAATTAATAGCCCAATGGGACGCATACCACCATGTGACCGCCTTCTTGTGCAGTTGCCCTCCATCGTATCTGACTCAGTCCCTCTTACTGAAGGTGGAAACTCGTTGCATCACCAAAACGCCAGGAGTACGGAGCTGGAAGCTGGATCGATGTCGGACAGGTTAATGGTTCCTCCGGCTTCTCTTCGCAGTGCGTCACAGACTGGGCAGATGACCAAGTGTCAGCACAAAGCAAAAGTGATGCAGTCCAAGGCTATCCTGCCATTTTCTGATCAAGCGCTCTCCAGGCTCCAGCAATGTCGTGCTTGAAACCTGACTTGTGCCACGAGCATTGGCAAAGGCATGTGTCCATGGCTGTGAGCACCCTCGGATGCGTGGTGTGCAGGGACGGACTGGCATGCCCCGCCCTATATCCAGCAAAGGCACCAATCTTTTTGCAGGTAAGTCTAAACTCTTCCCAAGTGCCTTAGTATTGGAGCATTTCTTGACACAACATGCATCATGCATGGCACAGCCAGTGCAGCAACCTCTGCTTGCAGTTCCAGTGGCACGTGTTGCTACCATCCATGTCCAAGACCCTCAGCATTGTGAGGATCTGGGTGAGGGGGTGGGTGGACGTTGACGACTACGTTTCAGTACCGCTCGCAAGCTGGCAACATTTGCAGACTTCCCGAACTCGCCGCTGGCGGGCCGAGGCGTACGAAGCGAAGCGCTTACAATTATCGTCGTTGCTTGTGTTGGCACCTCCAGATTGGGGACTGTTGAACACGCACATGACAAGATTGTCGCAGGCAACAGCAAACACACAGAGACTGCCTTTAACTTTGCGCAAATCACCCGCCGGATTGAGAAGTTAAGTCCGGCAACATCAAACAACAAACACAACAGCGAGAATAACGAGAACAGCAGAAGCCCCAGCAAGCAGCAGCATGAGCAGCAGCAACAGGCCAGGACCATGACCGTGACCATGACTATCACCAACCACTGCTACTTGTACCACCACCTCCAACAGCAGCAGCACCACCGACAACAGCAAGCAAGCAGCAGCAAGCACCAGTAAGCCATACTGGGCACTACTTTCTGTAACTTAAAAAGCAACAAAGTCGCTATGGTGGTGAACAGCAATGCCAAGACACAAAAACAGCTTGAGGTAAGGACAGTAAGAATTATTGGAGTCATGGTAATAGTCCGGGTCCCCGTTGAGGCCGCCTCTTATGTCGTCGGTAGCGCCATCAAAACCAGCATACTTGTCAACATCACTACCGTCGTCGCATCATCATCATCATCATGAGAATCGGGTGCTAGTCGTGACAGTAGGAAGTACGAGGTACGGATATAGAGTACGGAAACCAAAGTGTAAGCAACAAGGCTTACGGTGCCTGTCAACTGGACTGCGTTCCAATGTGGCAGCCCAGTCACATCTTCCAAGCACGGAGAAAGGTCCCGAACTTCTCACGGAGTCTCACGCAGGGCACGACAGCCACTGCTGAAGCGTATGGCGTTATGCAATGACATGACTGACATTTAATCGCATATGTCATCAAAGGCTGTGTTCTGAAACGCTGGACCACTGGAGGCCAGTCTCGTGTACTACGACTGTGGCACATCTGTGTCTTAGTTATCCTCCTGCCAGCCTGTTTTTGAAGTTCTGGGCCGACTCGAGACTAGGGCTGGCAAGCAGGAACTCCATGGGCTTCCAGCTGTCTAGGAACAGAATGTCCTGGCAGCCAGGCCGGCATAATTATGTCTGCTGTTTTCCTTGTACAGTGATTCTTGAGCTCATCGATGGTTCTCAGGATCATTCGAGCGGTGAGCGCAACGCGAGCAAACTAGGCTTAAGATCTGAAGCGCTTCACCAACCAGCCCGAATGGAATAACACCAGAAAGTCACCCGGGCCGAGTGTTTTGTAGCTTCCGAGTTGTGATTTCACTAAACTGCAGTCTTCAGGTTCAAGGTCGACGCGGGCATCAATCACAACCTCGACGTGTTCGGTCTGTCCTCTAGGTTGATCTTCTTCTTGCCGTGTCTGTCCAGCCTTGCATATTCACCCACAGACACGTCGGACACAAACACATCCCCAATCGAAGCAACTTGTGCGGAAAGGCCACCCTCTCATGCCCAGGCTTTATACAGTACCATGGGTCAGCTTTGAGAGAACCACGCGTAATCCATCGCCTAGGAGCGCATGGAAAAGATGTTTGTCCCGTTGCTCGTAGCCGAATTCCTTCAGCGCCTGCAAGAACTCCACCTCGCTGACGTTCCTTCAGGCTGCGCAAGATTTTTTGCTGCCATTTCTGTAGCGGCGGTAGTAGGAGTAGTAGTAGTAGTAGTAGTAGTAGTAGTAGTCGTAGTAGTAATAGTAGTAGTAGCAGTAGTAGCAGCGGCAGCAGCGGGAGCAGGAGTAGTAGAAGTAGAAGTAGTTGCAAAAGTAATAATAATAATAGTATCAGCAGTAGTGGTTTACGCAGGACGTCAGCAGTAGTGGTAGTGGAAGTAGTAATCGTCGTCGTAGTCGGTGGTGTCGTCGTCGTAGTACCAGCAGTACTAGCAGAAGAAGAAGAAGAAGTGGTAGTAGGAGTAGTAGTGGCGGTAGTAGTAGTGGTAGCAGTTGCAGAAGCACTGTTTCTTAGTAGTATCATCAGTGGTAGTGGGAGTAGCAATCGTCGTCGTAGTCGTCGTTGTCGTCCTAGTAGTAGTAGTAGTAGTAGTAGTAGTAGTAGTAGTAGTAGTAGTCGTAGTCGTAGTCGTAGTCGAAGTAGTAGTAGTAGTAGTAGTAGTAGTAGTAGTAGTAGTCACCACACTGGATGCGCACAACGTACACCAAATGCCTGCTTCAGGTACCAGACTGATCCCTCGCACTGTGCAGGCAGGATGTCGGGACCTTCACTGTCCCTGACTGACGCTGCATACATGCTTGGTAGGCCGCAATTCCAGTCACCAATCACTGGATCACTTCCAGGGTCAGTTTCACACTCAAGTGAGTCCACAAGCGGCAATCGCCCGCAACGTGCTGAGCCCGCTCGCACGGCGTCCAATTGAAAGTAGTAGTAGTAGTAGTAGTAGTAGTAGTAGTAGTAGTAGTAGTAGTAGTAGTAGTAGTTTTTGTCACCCAGTAGTAGTAGTAGTAGTAGTAGTAGTAGTAGTAGTAGTAGTAGTAGTAGTAGTAGTAGTAGTAGTAATAGTAGTAGTAGTAGTAGTAGTAGTAGTAGTAGTAGTAGCAGTAGCAGTAGCAGTCATAGTAGTAGGATCGACAGAAACCACAGTAACAAGATCAGCATAAGAATCGTTGTAAGCAATAGCCGTTGCAGCAACAGCAGCAGGATGGATACAAGCAAACTGGCAGAAGGACGAGAAGTGTCTGTTTTTGGAGTAGCCAGGGCCATACTCTTCTAGCAGTGCGGTTGCACAAGCTGCGGCAGTAGGTTTGTGGTTCTGTGGTTGTGGTGATATGGCAACAGCAGCGACAACATCAATTATGGCGGTATTGGTAGTTGACAGCTTCGCAACGCATGTCGAGGGCCCTGTCGGACCCCTCAGATTGAAAACAATCTCGGGTGAAGCTTACCGACGTCCAGGAAGTGTCTTGCCTGGCATCTGCGTCAAAATTAGGAGGCCAGCATCCACAATATTATAATATGGATTGCCAGAAACTAGGTCAGAAACATCCGATGCCGTCAGCTATAGTCGTTGCAGACGAAGATCTTGTTTCCATCCAGGTCGAGCGCCTAGGCACTGTTGTCTGGGGGACCGGCAACTCTTCGCTGTGCGAGTAACTGGAAAATTGTTGTGCTGGGGGCTGCCTCTCCAGGAGTCTCGTCGCTTGAATGACGAAGAAGCAACATTACTAATGGCAGTCTTGTGTCTGAAGCGGTTGCGATGGAAGATAATGGAAAAGAAAGCGCCACTGCAAAAGAAGCGAAGAAGCAAAGAGCGAGAGAGAGGCATCTTTCTTTGATTACGGGCCCTATGCTTCCATGTGAGGTCTTAGACTGAATAAGCTTACATAGCCTTGGTAGCAGCGATTGCTTAGGGCTCGGCTGTTCAATAGGACCACACTGCGCAATCCAGCTTGCAAATCTCACTGCCGCACAGGCACGGCGAAGGTTCGAGTGGCACTTCCGAACTTCTGCATGACAAACTGACCTCATCTCGCCAGATGCCCAGCTAGGTTCGAGCTGTGGCTAATTAACCTGCAGCAGTGGCCGTTAAATCCAAAGTAGCGACCGTTTGGCACCGTCACCAGATGTCACCAGTAGTCTACGACATGCTCCCATGGAAACTGCTTTTGCAGGGGCGATGATTGCCCGAACAGCATCAAATCATCGCAGCTCGGCGAAACTTGCAATGCAGCGCCCATTCGTTACGTTCTATCCTGATTTTTAGTCGTGCAGCGGAAGAGTGCCAGCTCCTCAGCAGCCTTGAAGTCTAGCTCCTCGTTTATCAGCGCAGGTTTCAACTTCCCATGTTGCCAACTTCCATACGCTTCCAAATGCAACTGCAACCTTTCAACTCGGAGCTCGACTTGAATGACCCTTGCGCCGGCTAAACACCGATCATCTCGTTCCACACAAGCTAGGTTGTGACCTGCTCAGCCCACACCAGGTATAACCGAATATCAGCAACCTAAAACCTTGCGAGGTTGGAACCTTGCCAGAAGGTAATCGGATCAGCTCTTGACTCTCACAGGTCTATGGGATACCCCATGGGCCAACGTTTAGATGCTTGAGGCTCAAGCAATTCGAGGCAACCACCGATCTTCCAAGCAACCACTCAGCACTTCGAATCATTCTCAACAGCTACAGCTACTTGTAGTTTCGCTAACAATCGCGAACGAGTTAAAACCCAACCCAACGTCCTCAATGCCGATGGTTCCACTCGTGTCCGTGTCGAGAATCTCCCACAGGCCCTTGACATCCTGGGCTGCAGCGGCTGCAGTGTGCATGACGTCTGCCTTTCCTGGCGATGAAGTCGCCCCGTCAATAAAGAAGAGGTTGACGGAGTCGGCTTTCAATGTTGATCTGGCATTTTGCCATGCAGCCAGCCCGGCTAGACATTGAACCTAAAGCCTTTCTCGCACTGGGTCTCCGTTCTGCGTTGAGGCTGCTGCTGTGCAACGACGACAAAAATCCTCTGTTGGTGTCGAGGCTCTGTGCGCCACTTCAGATTCACACAAGCCTGCCACGGACACTGCAGGGGTGACGAACACCTTGATCCGAGTTGTAGCAACCTCCGGCCTTGAAGAACTGGCCCTTGTGGAGCATCATGGAATCACCTGCGCAATGGGTAGTGCTAGTGCTAGGGCTTATACTAGTCATAATGATCAGTGCTGATATTCTTGGGCATCCAAAGACCGCAAATCTATACATGCTCATGCTTAGTTTTCGGTTCATCTTCATTCTGGTCATAATTTGGGGCACCTTAGTGTAGCAGCCTTATTCGTCCCAGAATCCATCATCACTGTAATGACGTTTTGCTCTTGTTTTTATCATGTTGAAGTGCTTTTGGGGACGGCTCGCAGGAGAAGGTCGGACATCAGATAATGGAAGCGAACTCTGTATTCATTAACATAAAGATATTCATGACGCTCTCTTCACTTCTCAGTAATCCCAGTTTCCCGTCGGGCCTTTCCCCTGGCCCTTGCCTACCAAGTGACTGCACTATGACGAACAACTGATAAAACATGATACAGTACCAGGGCCACCATGATCCTGAATATAGAGGTGCTGACCAATATGATAGAAAACAAATTTACAAGCCCAAAGATGAACTGGAGCATGAATCTTTTGGGGGACGAGCACTGCCACTAACAGCCCCTTCGTTCCACACGGCGCTTGCAGTGGCTTTTCACTATCCTTGCACCTGCGGCTAAGCAGGTTTTTCTTCGTCGGTTTCAAAGCCCGATAGTGAATGCAACCAGGCTCCAACGGCGGCGTGGTGGGCGGTCGCGGAAAAAACTGCAGCTTGCTGGCACATTCGGACAAAAAACCCACAGTAGAAATCCCCCCCTGACCCCCCAGACCGGGAAGAACAACGGCCATATCTTGGGCTTAGATGGGCACCTTCTACCAGTGATTGGCGCCAGGCCCGGAGCAGACTTCCGCCATGCTTTTGCCGCAGAAAGCGCTTGAAATCTGCCTGGGCAGGACGGGGGTAACTATTTTTTGGTGGTTCATTAAAGGGGTCTATGCAGGGATCTACAGTAGGTTCTGGGGTAGGAGGGGCCGTTACAATTATAGTTTCATGGGCCCCACCCAAAACCCTATCTAGTTATTAAGGCCCCTATTTTAAGAGAGTCTCACAACAAGGATCTTAGGCCCTACACTCTACACTCAGATGCGTTCGGTGTGGAGGCCCTGCTAAGTGGGCTACGTGCTCTCACAGCCTTGGCGTCAACTTGAGGCAGCTACACAAGACAATGTGAACCAAACCCACAGCTAGCCGAGTTGCCAAGTTTTCTCGAGGGTCCTGCAACATTTCAGTCGATGGCGGCAAGTTGCCTATGGGCTTACTCTCACTGTGGTTTAGTTTGACAGGATGTAACCTTCGAAGCGCTGGCACTGTGAAGCGAACGATTAATCGTGGCATGTCCTTGGCGCCACGCTTGATTGCACGGACTTTGGTCTCATGCAATGCCTGCTCTTTGGCCTTGATCTTCCGCTTGTAGCGTCGCATGTCCAAGTTGAGCCTTTCACACAGGCCCGGATGGCATCACGTAGGAATGGAGCCGTGCACGGATGGCCAACGAAGCTTGCTTCTTTGGATTTCGGCACATCGGGAGCATTCTCACGAAGGTGATCAAACGAAGCATATCAAACCCGCATCTTTACACATTTCTCCAAGATACCATCGCATGTCATTGGCCACGATGTTAGTCTGGTCTGCGCTGATAGCATAAAAAAGCTCTTCCTCGCAGCCAGCCGTCCATCCGTTGGCGACCTCCGCTACTTTTGCTGTGCGACGACAAATGAATCAGACAATGGTGTGAACTGAGTTCAATGGTACTTTAGTTCAGCATCACAAGCAACAAGCCCTCCGTCTTTGTTCCAAGAGACTAGATCCGCCTCGAAATGGAAGAGATTAATCTTGACAGCCTTAGGCAGTAGTGGTGCAATAGAGGTGAGATGCCTCCAGTCGAATCATGGCCCCACGTGGCTTTGGAACGACAACTCAGTTGCTTTCTTTGCAAGCAGGAAGCATCCACCTTCACTTCTCCTTTTCTGGCCATTCGCGTGAGGCACTCGTCCAGGCCACCGGGGAAGTTGCTGCAGCACCAGGTGCGGAAAAGGTCCTGACACAGTTCGCTACTCTGATGCAGCAAATGGTTGGCAGGGTGCTTTGCGAGCATACTGCATCACAGCGGGAAGGGCCGTCGTCCTCTCCTCCTCCTGCCTCTAGTAGAAGTCCTACCGACGACAACGACTACAACAACCACCACAACCACAACCCACCGCAACAACACCAACCTCAACCACGACGACGACTGACTACTACTAGTACTCCTCCTCCTCCTCCTGCTGGTACTGTAGTGCTGACGGCGACGACGACAACGCATGCTGCTGTTGCTGTTGCTGCTGCTGCTGCTGCTGCTGCTGCCGACAACGAAGATTCTTGCATCCCATGAAATCTTGTCTTATCCTGTTGCTTCCCCTCGTCAAGGATATGGCTTGCAAAGTCAGAACGAAGGCTGCCGACTACTGTATGCTGAGCTGGTGGCGTTCGCTTTCTGCGGTTTCGGTCTCCACTAGAACATGTGTCGTTCTTGTGCTGTTGCTTCCTTCTCCTGTTTCAACCATGCTTTCTTTGCAGATCTTCCGAGATAGGAAGCTGATATTATGGTAAATTTTTTACATGATCACAATACATTATAGTATAATACACTACGTTACAGAAAATATTATAGTGTATCACAGAAGTCGAGGGGCAAAGAGTTGGTCAGCTCTGGGATCGAGCTCTTCCAAGGTCAGCTCCCCACCACGGTCGAGGTCCAGTGCTTGGTACAGCTCCCCAACATCGTAGGCAAACCTCAACTCGAGATTACAGGAGAAACCTCGTGTCTCTGGTCCGCAACTCGTGCCAAGTTGCCCTTGCTCCCGCATGTATCCTCAATTGCCAGGATATGTTGACGGACATGGTTGCAACCGACGGAGGTTATCATTGAACTAGTTTTGGGTCGATCCTTCGTTGGGGAACAGGTTAATTGTACGTAGTTTTGGGAGTCCCTTGGGCTTGTCAAGTTGCCGTAACTTTCCAAAATGTGTCCGACATGTTTAGGAGTTCATCAAACTTCGCCGCGTTTGTCGGGACTTGATCGGCTTTGGGTTCTGACGATTCGAATGTGCAAAGCAAAACTTGACGCTGTCGCCCGCAATGATCTTACCCTGCGTTGTTCAAGGTATCTGAACCCGTTTCCGCCCACACCCCGCAGTGCCAAACTCCTCCCTTCAAAGCACGGACGAGGTCGAGCATGTGAAGGGCCGGATGCCCAAAGACGGATCGACCGTCGGAGTTGCAATAAGCTCAAGGAAGGAAAACGGGGCTTCGCGTTTCGATGACAGAATCATGCAACTCGGCTTCAGGGTTTCTATGCCACAACCGTGCACGTGATCCCAAGCTTCCGACCGGGATTTGAGACGTGTGCGGCTCATGTCCAAGTGGGAGATTTTGGGACATCACAGAAGTCGACAATCCGCAATGGGTCAATGGTGGAGTTTCGAGGTTCAAGTCTGTTAAAGATCAAGGCTAACAGCTTCTGATCTGGCTTTAGATTCGTTAGACTTCGGCTGTCTTCACCTGATTTGATCTCAGGGTTGTGGATCGGCCCCAGCTACCCAAACAATCTGTCAACAAGTTTGGTAGTGCTTACGTTTGGGTGGTTCTTAAAATGCTTCTGATGTTCTGGCTGCAAGTGGTAGTTCTGAACATGAAAGACATCCAAGAGCTCTGCAATAGCTCGTCGTTGCACCGTTGAAGGTGCATAGCAGACTACGCCACAGAAGTTGCGACACCATACAACAAACAGAGAGAGAGAGAGAGAGAGAGAGAGAGAGAGAGCCAGAGAGGAGCAAGCTTCATCAGCTCTTCATGTTCAACCCTGAATTCTGCTTGCATCTGTGCCGCGGACGAAGTACATCTCTGACACTCTGTGCTCGTGATCCGGGTCGAGCTTGTGTATCCATGCTCGAAGCGTGGAACCTCCCAAAACTACTGTTCGCAAACGATGCTGCATCTGGAGGCATCTTCCTGAAGCCTGCAATATCTATGAAGCAGAGCCTGCTTTTACAGTTCGGGACGACGGGTTTTATTAGACCTTAGTGTCCACATGCTGCGTATGCGACTTCTTCCCAGCCTTCCTGCTTGACAAGGAACTCTTGTAGAACCTCGGCCCGCTTCCACATCTTCAATGTCAACTTGTCAAGAAAGTCCAGGCTGACCATGTTTAGCTGCAACGATCTCATTCTGCAGGACGGGTTCTGCCATGCTCTGCAGAGAATGGTTATCTGAATTCGGAACCCATGTCGAAAGCGGCTCGATTAGTTCCTCGTTTCCTTTCACGGAACTCAGGCACTGACCCTCTGGGCGGTGGCCTGGTTCATGGCGGTTGGCCCCCCTGATGGCAAGCCAGGAACATTCTAATCTTGAGGTATCTTCATGGTCCACCCCTAAGGAGTCCCGGGTTTGATGGGTCGGAATTGCCAAGGGCACCGGCAAGGTCGATTCGCGCATTGGCCAAACCGATTCGGAGAAGCGGATTCGTGCAAGGGTTCATTCGTGTACCCACGACTGGCGCATGTGCACGTCGAATTTGTGGACGCCGGAATTGTCGTTGATTGGACGGCGGATTCGCGCACGGGTTAATGACCCTAAGTCATAAGCCCTAAAATACAGCAAACCCCTCACCATTACCCCTCGAGGATCCGAAACTTTGGCTCAAGAGGGTGTGCGAAACCTACACTGGCCACTGTTTTGCATCCGGCCTCCATGCTAATGCCAGGTCTGAGGGGCTGAGGGGCTTAACCCGATCAAACCTAAACCCAAACAACTGCCTTCAACTCTCAAAACCGTGAAGCCCCCTACAGCCTCCAAGCCTCAAAGACAAGGCACAAACAAATCTCTGAAAAACGCACATGCTTTTGGTGGGATTCAGCCTTTCACAACTCTGAATGCTGGATGCGCGCCTGGCCCAGCAGTCAATTCCAGCCCGTCATCGCTCAGCGAGGCGGCAAGAATCCACCGTAAAGCACCCAAACCCCAAGCCTCAAATGTCCCAGATCTTCGGTTGCTCTTTTCGCCCGTTCGGTAGAAGAAGCTCCGTTTGTGTTGTTGCGATGCCCAATGTTGGGTGGGCCTGTCATGCTGACCGTAGGCTTTGGCCCTCTGAGCTAATAAATCCACCCCGAAGCCCTAAAACGCGGCGGCGGCCAAAAGCATAAGCACAAACGGTGCAGGAATAGCTGACCTCACTTCATGAAGCAGCTCCAGCGAATCTCGTGTTCTTGTCTGAAGGCATGACAATGAGGCATCAGCGGCACTCAGTCTGAACTCTCTAAGTGCCCGGCAATGATCGCAAGAATCATGAACACCATCCACTACCGCCCTCTTCACGCTTGAGCTCGGGGGTATCCGATGACGAGACGTTTCGACAGTGGTCTGCCTCCCTGTCATTACTGCCATATGCTGCGGTCCCACGTCTAGTCTCCCAGAGCAAAAAGGAAAAGTTAGCTAGCTCCAGCAGCATTTCTTTCGTGTAGCGGCGCAGCAACGGACCAGGCAGTCGACAAGTAGCCAGCTGACGCTCAGTTCAAGCTTCCGTTTGAGAGTCGGCTGCCGAGGTGGCATTGCTAAGGCAGTGACCTACAACACCAGCAGCCAGTTGGGCTCACCAAACTTGGTCTGGAAGGCCTCACTTGTGATCCTGAAGAGCGAAGGGCGGACCAAAAGCAAAGGAACAGCACCACACTCCAAGCTCACGGTGCCCCTGTGGGACTGAACCCGGCACGACATCGAGCCAGGGCTCAGGTTGGGGATGGCACGTACAAGGCCCTGCGACTGGTTCTGTACGCAAAAACATCCCAGCACCACTGTCTGTCTCGTGGCCCGAGGTACAGCTGGAGAGCTCTGCTTGCATTCGACTACTGCTTGCGCGTTCTTGGCGCCAGGCCCTCTGCGCCAACGTGCGGGCGAGGATGTCAGCAAACTTTCGCCTGGATGCAAGCTGCAAAGTCTGGGCCTTCTGCTCAATTAGGAACCTGCATGGGCAAAGGGGATGGATGGAGGCCTGTTACGAGGCTGCCGATGTTTTGGCTGGACTTCGAACCGACTCTGCGCAATGCAAAAGCAAGCTGGTGAGAAGCTGAGTGGCGAAGGGATCTCGATCAAGAAGTGCCCCACCACTGACCTCGCATAAGAGTTTGCCTACAAGTTGAACGGCTTCTCCAAACTGAGACCTACAGCCGAACGAAGTCTGAGAGCTAGGAGGCTCAGGAGGCCAAAAAGATCTGAGAGCAAGGCGCAGCCATCAGGCTGCCAAGAAATGTCCAGCTAAGACCAGGAAAGCCGGACCTCACCGGGGCAAGTTGTTGGACGGGTTGCTGCCTTTACCCATCTTCTTTTGCGTCCTGCTTCTGTGTATTCCTGAGAACCTGTCACTGACTCGACGACGATGTGGACAGGCCTGGGGACAGGAGGTGAGTGGTTGAATCACTCCTACTGGTTCCTGGTGTGCTTGAAATCGAAAACCTCAACCTTCCCCGTGCACTGGCCCGGAAAGCTATGCCACTGGCAGAGCCAGCAAGTACATAGAGAGGGAGAGCTTCCCGACCTTGGCAGTTCACCGAAGGAAGGCAAGTGGGTTGCAGGGGTCTCGGGAATGTAAAACAGTGTCTTTTGCCGTTTGGCGTGCCCGATGGTATCCGTGGAACGATATGTAATGCAGCTACGCAGTGGGTGCAGCAGTGTTCGCCGGCAAAAGCTTACTTGTGTATGGGCATGTCATGGCGAGCCTGCTACACTGCTACACTGCACCATATCTCGTTTCGCCAGACATTGCATAACACACCAACGGTATGGCGCTACATGTATATAGTATGTAGGGTTTCATGCTGCTTTGGATTTTTCAGAAATAACGCCAAGATTATTCAGAAACACGCACGGAATTGTGTGACACATAAAACGCCGAAATTCGTTTGCACAGGCCCTAAACCCTAAAAAAACATGCGTATACACCCAGCCCTGACAGTGTATATGGCCGTAAACACTTTATGGCATCAGGATTTGTGACGTCTGAGCACACAGAGTGTCAGCGCTCATGAGTGCAAACCATTTTGCAGCCAGGCTCCCAGAGCTGTGTTGCCGCGTTAACAAAGCGAGTCGCACCGAAAACGAACAGTACTGGCACAGCTTGCAAAACCCCATGCGTTTATACCGAGCCAGGAAATACATGTGGCCCTAAACCGTAAACTTTGTAAACCCCAGGCGTGTATACCAAGCCTGGAAATGCATATGCACGCTTTCTCCTATATATGGTGCGGCACAGTTGATGAACATCTGCGCTATATTTCCGGAGAAAGCTGTTACACATGTCGAAACCATGGCGTCGTAAAACCTTGCAAGCTCTCTGAAAAGGCAGCGCTCTATGTATGTATGTGTAGGTATGTATGAGCGGTTGGTTGGAGCCCCAATAGCCACGACGGGGTACGCCATGAGCCACAGGCAGAAATGCAACCAGGTGAAGAATTGCAGCCCACAGTCGGCATGCACCAGAGCGATTGATCAAGGACTCCCAGATGGAGTGCAATGCATTGGGTCAGCATGCTACCTTGAGGATGGTCCTTGAACAAACATACTTGGGAGGGCCTGAGGCAGATCACTCCCATTCTCTCGTGCTGTGTGAGGATCCAACCAAACTGCGAGGGATGACGATCATACATCGCTCAACACTCTTCGCTCGCAATGCTGTGCCAGATGGCATGTATGTTATTCGGCCTAGGCGAGGAGATGACAACCGAATAGCTCTTTCAGACTACAGCATCTAAACGGAGTCGATACTCCTCTTGCTGCGAATTTGCCGGTGGCGTGCAGCCCTTGGTGAAGACGCTGGCCGGCATTCCGTGTGAGTGTGGTGGCATTGATGGATGTTTCCATCCGTTTGACTCTTTCTTTTCGATTGTGTTTTTGCCGTCACTGCACATCCGTGACTGCCTGATTGGCACACCCGCTTTGAAGCGTGAGACATTAGCCCTGGAGGAATGCTCCAAGTTTGACCGCCGGGGACTTTGATGGTCAGCATGCCCTGATGGCATGTGTGGATACCTTCTCGGTTGAGGTTGCTTCTCCGAGCCTCCGCAATAGCGCTTTTGGCCTCGCGCCGCGGGGTCAAGCCCCAGCTCTCCCCATCGCAATCGTGTGCTCGCGGTACAAGCTGCAATGGGCTGCATCAACTCGACCCTACACCCCAAGAGCAAGAAGTAAGGGAGTAGATATGCAATTATGTGTGTAGGTATGTCGGTATGTATGCTCCATCTAAACCGTGAGCACATCTGCAGGATCCCAAGGCAGCTTCAGCCGTTGTAGAAGGAAGAGGTATGTCTCCGATTCTCGTCTCATACCTACAGGCTTAACCTAATGCTGCGAGCCGCGGTAGTGTTTAACCTCACAAGTGCTGCCGCTCACAATGCCGTCGAGAAGTTCAGTTTCAAGGACGTCCTGTCAACACCTGTAGAAAAGTGAGGTTTCTAAGACCTGAAAAAGACAAGCACGAATACAATAACAACCACACGCACTCACAGATTCGCATTTTGAGGCATGCGTTGAGAGTGCAGCCCAGTGTAGCGATCCTCTTGCAGCAAGTCTGGCCAAGGGATCTGCCTCGACGGCGCCGATGGCACGAATCCATTTTATGCACAAAGCGGCCTCTTTGTCTTCTGTTGTACTCACAAGCTTCCCTGATGGCGGCTGCAGTCCTCGCAAGGCCTCGTTACAGAGGCCCAGGATGAGCAAACCTGAACAAAGGAACTGCGCGACGCTAAAGCGTGCGAAAGCGTCAATCGACTGCCTTTCCGAGGTTTTGCACGGCCAAGCCCGCAGCCCGTAAATGGCGACAGCAAGCCCTTCGTGAAGATGGGGTAGCAAGGCTCGCCTCAGTCAGCAGGCTAGGAACTCAATCACTTCTCTCTCTCGGCCTCTCACAAGGAACCCGGGACAACATCGCCAAAGGGACAATTTCAATTCCGTTGTCAGCGTTCAAGCTGCGATGAGGCGATGCCGATGAGTTTGTTGTTTGAGCTCATGACTAAAAGGCACTGGTGGAGGCAAGGACGTGAGGATTCTGCTGCAGTAAGTCCGCCACGGAAAAGTGGCACCTCATCGAACGGCGATATGAATATCATGACCTTGGCCACGGCAATCAGAGCGGCGAGTGACTGTCGCTAGCAAAACGACGTCCTCCAATCCAAAAGCTCAAAGCCATTCTGTAAGACCCTGTACGATTCGGAGCGACCCTTTAATGGCTTCGTCAATCAGATGTGGATGCTTCGTCGAACTGAGCTCCCCGACGAAGCCCAGGGCCAGCACGCTCCCAGTGACGCCGAAGCGGACTGAGAAGGGCATCTCTGCCACAGGCCTGTCTCAACAAAATCTACCTCTGCCATGTCAATGTGCTGACGCCAAGATGTGGAAATCTCCTGGCAACCCTTCCTCCGTGCACTCTCTGCTCGGCCTCCACTCGTGCATGTGGATTTTCGTGACCGCATGTGCGATGGTACGATGCCACTGGGATAACAACATGTCAATGGGTACTGGCTGCCTCAACTTCGGTGAGGGCTTGTGGAGAGGCCAGCATAAGATTCACACAGTTGCCATCTATGCGCAGCAGGCTGCTGTATTTCCTGAGGCTTGTGCGACCGTCGACTCATGGCATCTCCCAACACGATGGATAGGTGAAGTAATTGGCCAAATGCGTGACGAAGGGATGTGTCAAGCCAACTAAGCCAACACTATCTTTCACGAACTGCTGCAAACTTTAGTCTGTACTCAAGCTGACCACATGCTCCCTTAGCCACGCTGCCAAACCGCATAATTCCTGTGCAGGCCCCTTGAGGGCTTCTGCACAGTGGTCACATTAACTTCGCAGCCACCGGCTGACCAGCCGAAACTGCTCCAGTCTCACATCTGGCTTTCACGCGAGGAGTGCCAAGCCAGAGTTCAGGAGTCAAGATGCAGCCTCCGTGGTGTCAGCTCCCATCTGAGAGCTCGAGCCTCCCCTGTCATAAAGTCTCTCCTTCTTGCCTTAGTGGCCGAAGTCTGACAGAGGCATTCCTGGCAATCCTTGCGAGTATCTGAGCTTTTGCTGTCTGCTTTTTGCCTGCGGTCAAGCTAAGCCACCTGGGATCTTCTCCAACATCGCCATGCCGCCAAAATTTGCTGCCAGAAGCCGTTCCATCAAGTTCAAGAACTCGACAAAGTTCACTGAATCCTGGCTTGGTGCTTCGAGTTCGGCATACAGGCTCGGACATATCTAGGCGAGGTCTCACGAGATATTCCGATTCACGGCGTGCCTTCCCGAAAAACATAATGGTCGTTCTGGCTCTTGCTTGCGAGGGCAGGGACGAAGGTCCCGCCACGCTCTACTGCGGCGTGCCACTTGAGACGTGGGTTGGGATGACCCGCCACAAAACGCCTTACTGTGAAACAAAGTGAGGAAATGGGCTGCTTACCACAAGGCTGGCGAAAAGCTCGGTCCCCCCATGCGCCTCTTCGCGAGATGACCTACAGGCCTCCCGTTTGACCCGTTTGTTGGTACAGGGGAGACTGCCTCCTAGCTTCACGGACCATCACTCTCAAGAAGTGTGCCTGGATGTGCCTGGGAAATACCAAGATTGGCCGTGTTACCAAACGTGTGTGTGGTTTTTGTATCGACATCTCTCACGGGGCGTCTGTTGCGCACAGGTAGTGCTCCAACTAAAACCTTGTCCATCCTCTTACATTGGATTTGCTTCGTGCGCCTAGCTTTTATTAGCCCTCTCACTCGACAGTCAGGCGTGGAGTCAAGGACTAAGACACTTCTCTTTAGCCTCGTGCGACACCCTGCAACAGCTTACCGGTCATGGGGTCATGCCTATGGAATCTGCTGTATGGCCGTCCATGGGCCAGTGGAATGCCAAGACTCGTCGCCGCCAGGGCCATGCTTGTGCACTTGCCGAACTTCGCGCTTGAGCACCTCACAGCCGGCTCAAGAAGGAAAGCGTTGCGGAGCACCGAATAAACACCTGCTTCGGTGCAGCTGGAAAACTCCACACATGGCCATTACTAGTATCACTAGCCCCTCCCGACAAGCCACAACCCCCAAAGGCTGAAGGCAGTTCCTTTTGCTTCCAAAGCTGCCTGCGCATTCTTGTACCCCAGTGGGACGACCCTGGCCAGCAACCTGCAAAGCTAGTGTCTCTAACGACATGCTGCGAATGTAGGCCTGTAGTGTAGCATAACGCTGGCTTTCGCGCCTACGGACCTAGAAAACACGCAAAACAGTCTCCAAGTTGAGCGAGGCACTCGCCAAGCTCCTCGAAGGAGAGGCCTCGGTTTCCAGGTCCCTCCCTTTCTCCCTCCCTCCCTTCCGCCCCCGACAACGATGCAGACACCTCTTGAACACTGCCCTCACCGATAGGTACTTACGCCGTCTTGGCATGTCTTGGCCTTGACGGGGCTGGCTGTACTGACAAAGTTGGCAAGGTTCCCTCGTTGCGACCAGGTTGCGGTTTCGATACGAGCCCGGAAGCCCCGAGGAGGTTGCCTGAGACATGAAGAGGCCGCGAAACTCGTAGACTTCCGCGGGGGTGAAGTCCCGTTCCCTGGCTGCAAATTGCAATGCCACGCGCTGCAATGATCAGGCTCTGCCTGTGAAACTTGAATGGGACAGTGGAGGCTTGCTTCGACCCTGCTCAAGCCAAAATTATTGCAGCCTCGTCGCTCAATGGCTTGTCTTTCTCGCTTGAGCTTGTCTAGCTCGACAATGTCAACACACACGCGACAGAGTGCAAGAAACTCATCCATCCCCACGCGGCTTCCAGGCTCTTTGCCTGCAAGGATCTCACCTGAGGCTGATAAGGCTTTGCATTGTAATGGACATCTTCGGTTGGTCGTGCCAGCGTGCTGACATGCTACCACGCTCTGTGCAACCCGAGCCGAGCTGCTGAGCTTGGCCCGGTTGTCCTTCATGGTCATCTTATCCGCGAGCATTGGGAACTTCTGCCTCAAGAGATGCCTGGAAGCTGCATGAGCACATCGAGTCAAGCACATCTCATGTGCGCGGCAACCACATCTGCTTGGCGATAAGTAGACTTCAGCCATCCTGCGAGCTACTTCAACTTCAACCTGTATTCAACATCGCCTCAAATCAATCGTGCGGACGCAGCCGTTTGCATCGCGCCCACAGGAGTTGAAGTCACCCTCCAAAGCCTCCACCTCTCCCTGACAAGCTCAGGTTTCTGTCCGCTTGCTATAACACATTGAGGCAGCCGTTTCTCAAATTGCGCTCAGGTTTGGAAGCAGGGGTCCTTGCCGAAGCCGTGATTCCGACACACCTCTTCGCGCTGTTGGTTCCGCAACTTTGTAGCCCATGGGATGAAGTCCATGAAGGTGACCTTCTTGCGACGCGGCTCCTGATCGTCCTCCGAGAATCCCAACATCTCCGTTTTGAACCTAGGCTTTCAACGTGAGGCGGTCTGTCTTTATAGCTGAATCTCCGCACAGCAGTGCCGATTTATGCAGCCAGGAGAGCCGATGCTTCAGCTCCGCGGCGGCCGGGCTTGTGTTGGATGATTCTTGGTCACTAACCACCTTCCACATCTGTCGCAGTTCCCTGTCACGCAAATGTCCGAGGACCATCACGAACTCCTTCTCCTTGACACCAGGCCAAAGCAGGAAATGAGGGCCGGGGCCTATGCGAGGATGTGAAGCTACTTCTATCGTGCTTCCTGCTGTACCAGGCGCGTTCATGACGCTGGTCTCGCTTGACTCAACCAGGTACATGAGTCTGCGGACCTCGTGGTAGTGGAGATCGAACCCCATGGTCCTCACCATTTTGAGCAAGCAGTCCACGCTGATGGTGTCATCTGGCGTGAACCTGCAACAGCACATCATGTGATATGTTCTTTTGCATCGGGGCTCCAGGTGATCTGTACTGCCGAAGGTCGCTCAAGTCTGACAACGACGACTCCATCATACATCTCTGTAAATCTCTGGTCTTCAAACGGGACAGCTGTACGTCTTCATTATGTTTACCGTCGTTGTGCATTCCAGTTTCTCGGTCGCGGTAGAGAAATGTTAGTTTGTGACTCGTGCTACTTCCAGGAGGCTTTTTTAAAGCGTTTGAGCAGGGCAGCACAAGCACTGCAGACCCTGCCTTTTGAAGAGGTCCAATGCTTCAGTGATTGCGCCAAGTGTGAGGCCTAAGCCACAAAAGGGCATTCCTTGCAAATGGCAAGGGCCGGCCCACAGCTGACCACCATGCTGCACCTCTTTCTCTCTCTCGCACCCACACATTTTCTCCTGCTCTCGAGGCTAGAGAGGTGTCTGGAGTGTGGGCGGCTCACAATCTAGGTATTCTACGGGCAAGCAGACCGCCATGAAGATTGTGAAGACTGCCGCCCCAATGACGGCAAAACTCCGCTCAAAGCTGGCTTGGGGTTGCTTGCATCTGCTCGGTGTCGTGATGTGTCGAATCAACAGGCGCAAGCATGGAAGCGGTAGCAAGAATCTGAAGCAGGCAAGGAACCGTGCTGTCGGCGATAGATCTCAAGGAAGCGCCAGACTTGTGAGAAATCCAAGTCCTCATACACATGCTGCGATTGCTAGCATCAGCCCCGTGCCAAGGGAGGTGCCGCCTCTTCAGGGTCGTCCACTCCCAACTGCAGCATCGTCTCCACAATGCCTGAACGCGGGACAGACAGATAGACAGCGGCACTGCTTCAAAGTTGTGGCCTAGGCTTAAGTCTCTAGGAGCAGCGTCGTCAGGGTCCGAGAACTCTATGTTGAATCAAACATCATGGTGACGGCGCAATTGAGAGGACAACGGCGCGACCCGAACTTCAAGGCGCTTAAGTGCTTGCCGGCAAGGCCCCAGCTCTCATGACCCATACGTCGGGACATGCGATCCAGAACCCTAAACTCAAATCAAAAGAAGTTTGTTCAATGTCAGCTACGGAATGCCAAACAGCACAAGAAAGGCCCTGCCCCAAGACAACCCTGGACCTACGTGACAATGCTGTTGGCTGTTCGCGTAGGGAGGCACCATAAACCACACTTCGACCCCCCTCCCCCCGCTTGCAAGCGAGATGCATGCCATGTCGGGCAGGTATCCGAGGGATTGTAGCAGCAACGCGATTTCTCGCGCATCCAGACCAGGCTCACCGTCTGTGTCGCATTCCCTGGCATGCCAGGAGTGCAATCCAAGGCAAGCGCTTCTGCACGGTGACCGAAAGCTCCGCAGAGCTGACATCTGTGCCAAAGCCGGATAAGAACAAAAGACCCATCATGTAGCCGTGCAAGCAGCCTGAAATAATCCTTTATCAACTTTGTGTTCCGCTCTTGGATCTTTCGCATGAGCACCTCGACTGAACGAATGAGACATGACACGTCACAACGGAGCAGCGTGCAGGAAAATGTGGTACCATGCAGCACCAGAATATTAGGCAAATTGTCCAAGCGACCGTGAAGTCCCGCTTGCTGAGCTGATT